GAAAACAATCTTGGACTGGTCAACTCCATTCAATGCACTCTGAAGATGTGACAGGAATCGTTGATATGTATGGAACGTGCCATCCCAATGAAGATACTTTGGTCCCAACATTATTGGCTGCTGACCGGTTTCTGTTTTTACAATACTTTTATTCTTAAATGTTGAAAGTGTGAGATAGCATGAACTTACGTTTAAAGTCCTGTCCAGTCCAATGATGCAGCCGTTTGCTATGGAAGTTTTCAAAGCGGTAATTTGTTTTTAAGCGGTTAGCTTCGCTAGCCGCTATATGGCATGTGTCGGCAACCGGAAACCTCCATAAGGCGCTACCTATCGGCAACGCTTTATCGCTCGTAACCTTATCCTTCTGCAACCAAAACCGGAAACTTCCACCAGGACCTACCTATCGACAACGGTAACTTCAGCAAATGATTTGTATACTGTCGGCGTAATACGCCCCCTGGGTTAGAGATTGACAATATGCTGTGAAGTCTGACTAAAGCCAGCCCCTACTATATCACTTCGTACTAACGAAGTATATGCTGTGTATGAAGAGTGGCTATTATAACGATTATATCGAATTCTTATTAGTATATTTACTAAAGCATTGACAATACTTACAACACTTACTTTTAAGAACAGAGAATTTGGTCCTTATTACATGTGTATCGCGCGATCGCGATTTCTGGCAACTGTTAGTTTATTTTTGAAAGTTTATTATACAGCAGGTTGGAGGTTATTACAGACTGCAAAGACATTAAGAAACACCATTTATTAAGTTAATACCTGAAAAGCGCTTTTATAAAAACACCGAACGCATCCGTAAGTTTTACACTTTTTGTAACGTTTTATGGAAACAATAGGGTTACCTCCACTATGAAACGTTTGTTTTCTTCTCTTTTCTTCTCTGTCTAATAAACAGATTATAAAAGCTCTGCTCCCAGGGATAAATTCTATACTCCGTCTTTGATAATTTATAACAATCGATCATAAGGGATTACTTACTATTAGTTTTGTAAAAAATAATGGAGCACTTAAAGTAGTAAAATCAATTTTGAAAAAAAAAATGGAGAAATATATATTAATTTTAATCAGCATTGTGATCCTCTTCTAAAAATCAACTGATATTATTTTCACAGAAGAATGAGGTATGAAAAATTTTGGCAATTAGCAAAAATTTAATATATATACTTAATGCTTATTTATAAGTTTTGAAAATTTGATCAATTCCTAGGGAACGTATTATTAGCTGTGAAAATACTTTTGAAATTTGAATTTGTCCAATTTGTCGATTATTGTTTTAAACGTTTGAGAAGAATAAAATTAAAATACAGGTGTTTAGAGGCACATTGATAGAAAAGAAATCAGTGTATATTGTTTAACCGACATATTGAAGAAATTGACACTGATAACTTCTTAAGTTACACTGATTTTTAATGTACATTTGAATTTTTAAATACTAGTATTGATTGATTACACAACTTTCCTTTTCATGTTTTATTTGAGAACAATATTGCATGAAGAGTATATGATAAAAACACCTTATATGTCCTTATCTAGATATTGTGCCTTATACTGTGCAAGACTTCTTTCAAATGATTCTCATATACCATTTACTTTATTCGGACATTTACTTGTTTGAAAAGTCAATAAAATATATTTCATAAAGCTTGATAATCTTGTTTACTCGCCAGTCTTCCCGTAGAAGTAGTAGTTTATAATATTACTAAAGGAAGTATTCAGTATCTGTATCAAAATACAGAATGATCAATGATCGATTTTAGAAGAAAAGCTGACTCCTGAAAGTTCAAGAGGTGGGATCCGTTGCCTAGAAAAAGTAAGCATCCCTTGTTGACAGGTTAATTATATTGCCGCGATGAGCCTACACAACTGAATCTCTCTGATATCAATTCATTTACAAAGTCTCTCCTCAGCCATCCTTTTTTCTCTGACTAGCCAGCTGTAGATCTACACTACTCCAAATCCATTAATCTAAAGAATTTAACTTGTCATTTTTTTAGTTGTTTGTTATAGTAGGCTTTACAATTACCTAATTTCAGATTCAATAGAGAATAAAAGACAATGAAATTTTCAACATCAACATAATTTTTTTTATCCAGAGAACAATTGGATACCATCAAGAGAGAATTTTTAAAAATGCACTTCCTGTCTTTCAAACTGAAGAAATTTCATGTTTAAATTTTGAAACATGCATTTCAATCTTATTAAAATTTATTTAAATGTTCAAAATCCCCTACCGCTTCTGAAACATCTAACATCCCATTCGGGGTCACATCAGAGCGACCTTTCAATTATGAATACATGTACAAGTAAACACAAACACTTTGGCCATGTAGATTCAAACAGTTCTCAAATTGATTCCACGGCTACATATCATCATTATTGATACTGTACGTCTCACGTTGAATTAAAGTAATTTTGGAATAAATTTCATGTATCGTCTGCAGTCTGGCATCTAAACGTGAATAATGCAAACGAAAGAGCACAAACAATACAAGATACCCCACACGTCATACATAACACAACTTTTGCAATGCGTAGGTTTTTACCACAAAACTCCTCAGGTGTTTTGGTTGGGTGGTGAAAACAAAAAAACCCATCTGAACTATTAGCAAGGAATTCGAAGGAACCATTTTCTTTGCTTGATCGAAGATTCACTCTTACATGACCCCAAAAGGATGTTGTAAGATGTTTGAGAAGCAGTAGCGGATTCGGAACATCTAATTTTAATTAGATTGCATCTATCTGTGACATCAGTTTGGAATGTTATTGGTTTTACTATTGAGTAAAGTATTACAAAAACAGAATGTCTGGGTTTTTCTTCTCTGATGACATTGGACAAAGATATGCATACTTAAATATCATCATTTTATGCACTTTTTTGGTACATATTAGATGAAAGCATGCTAACCGCTTTTCAGTACTTTCAGTACTTTGATTCGGAATAAACAATTACATTCGGAGGCTTATTGCTTGAAGAAGTTACCACCTCTTTAATGAATGATTGTCTTCGTAGCTTTTGTTCAAGATGTTGATAACTTCATCAGCCTTGTCTTGTGGGTGTTTTTTCTTCTCATAATTGTATTTTGCGTTTCTTGCTGTTTTCAGCGTTATAGGATCTTCTGGATTCTCTCGATAAACATCACTCTTAATTTGCCTTGGCGCCTGTCCCTTTTCTAATCCTTTTTAGCTCACCTGAGCCGAAGGCTCAAGTGAGCTTTTCTGATCACATTGTGTCCGTCGTCCGTCCGTCTGTTTTGTCCATCTGTAAACTTTCCACATTTTCGACTTCTTCTCAAGAACCACTGGGCCACTTTTGACCAAACTTGGTACAAAGCATCCCTGGGTGAAGGGGAATTTAAATTGTTAAAATGAAGGGACATATCCCCTCCCAAGGGAAGATAATCAAGAAAAGACAAAAATAGGGTTGTGTCATTAAAAAATCTTCTTCTCAAGAACCACTGAGCCAGTAAAGCTGAAACTTGTGTGGAAGCATGCTGGAGTAGTGTACATTCTAAATTGTTCACATCATGACCCCCCGGGATTGGGCGGGGCCACAATGGGAAATAAAAGTTTTACATAGAAATATATAGGAAAAATCTTTAAAAATCTTCTTCTCAAGAACCACTGTGCCAGAAAAGCTGAAACTTATGGGGAAACATCCTCAGGATAGTGTAAATTCTCGTTTGTTCAAATCATAACCCCCGAGGATTGGGCGGGGCCACAATGGGAAATCAAAGTTTTTCATAGAAATATATAGGAAAAATCTTTGAAAATCTTCTTACTCAAGAACCACTGGGCCAGAAAAGCTGAAACTTATGTGAAAGCATCCTGGGATAGTGTAGATTCTAAATTGTTCAAATCAAGACCCCCGGGGATTGGGCGGGGCCACAATGGGGAATCAAAGTTTTACATAAAAATATATTGGAAAAATCTTTGAAAATCTTCTTTTCAAGAACCACTGTGTCAGAAAAGCTGAAACTTATGTGGAAGCATCCTGGGGTAGTGTAGATTCTAAATTGTTCAAATCAGAGACCCCCGGGGATTGGGTGGAGGCCACAATGGGGAATCAAAGTTTTTCATAGAAATATATAGGAAAACATCTTTGAAAATCTTCTTCTCAAGAACCACTGTGCCTGAAAAGCTGAAACTAATGTGGAAACATCCTGGGGTAGTGTAGATTCTAAATTGTTCAAATCAAGACCCCCGGGGATTGGGCGGGGCCACAATTGGGAATCAAAGTTTTACATAGAAATATATAGGAAAAATCTATGTAGATTTCAAATTGTCTAAATTATGATCAGTGCCAGAAAAAGGTGGGGAAACAATATGTATTACAAGGGGTAATTCTAGTAAAGTACAGAATTGTCAAAGCTTCTCAGGTGAGCGATGTGGCCCATGGGCCTCTTGTTTAGAGGTAGGTTTTTCAATAATAAAGATATCTATCAAATATGAATCATTATCATACAATTTTTCTTTCAATAACCTTTAACTTGCCAAAATGACCCTTGGTCAAGGTCATAACACACCCTTGTGTCATGGGTAATCTTTGTGTGAAATGAGAACCTACCAAGTTTATCCATTAGAAAGATTTGGACCGGACATGAATTATGAAATTGTTCTTCCACTGACCTTGAACTTCTCCAAATGACCTCGGGTCAAGGTCATGACACACCGATAGGTCATGGACAATTTTTGTGTGGAGTAATAGATATTAATGTTCTTCCATAAGAAAGATATGGACCGGACATGTTTGCACAGACAGACAGACAAGGTGATTCCAATATACCGCCCCAAACTTTGTTTGGGGGGGGGTATAATTATGTTGTTTATGCATTTTAAAGTTATTTTCAATTGTTCTTCATTCATAATTATTCTAATTGTTTTTCTTTCTAAGGACTAATAGATAACTTATTTCAAATAAACATGAAATATGATTTTTTAGCACTACAAAGTCATATAAGTCTTGATAAAAATTTCAGACCATGAAAGACTTCAACAAATTGGATCCACAAGTAAGAGAGAGATCATTCCAATATCAACAGAAAAGCAAAAGGAAATAAAGTTTATCACCAGAATGCAGGAGAAAGACAGGTATGCAAATAAAATACTGTACATGTACATAATTAAGCTTATTCAGAATTTAAAGCAATCAAATATACTATCAGTGTAAATTAAGCGAGACACAAATTTAGAAATTTGTCCTTATAAGCAAAGCTCGTTTTGCCTAAATTATCCAATGTTTCCCACTCTCTTTGATGTCCCTGGAATACTATACTAACTAGACAGTGATTCCTTATATTTTCATTTCATTATGTAATAAAATTGTAGATTTAGACTTTTAAAATGTATAGACATAGATTTGAATAACACAAGGACCCTCCGGCCAATTTCAATCCTCGCCCAATGTATCATGACCGGTAGATTTTGAGTTCAAAAACTAATCAATGGCCTATTATTTGATAGCAAGGAGATATTTAATCAACAAAGTGATGCTGGTATAACAGTATCTGCAGATGGAACTTTTCAAAAGAGAGGATCTGGTAGATGTTACAACAGTTTATCAGGTACCTATGAATTCAGTGATGAATAATGAACTGTACTTGTTACTTTCATCTTATATTTTTTTCTTAATAAAATAAAAAATTAGAGCCTTTGCCCTTAAGAATTGTATATAAGGAACATTTTTCCTGCCTCTCCTCAACCCCCCTCAAAAAAAAGAAACACTTTCTGTAACATATGTAAGTTCTGAAAAATGCAGTGAATTTTATACCCCATGCAGTGCTTGTATCTAATCAGAAGGGGGTATACTGTTTTACCCTTGTGTGTCTGTCCGTCTGTCTATCTAGCTATGTGCATCTGCTTATATAACTTAACTTGTGTATATTACACAGTTATGGAATGGGTACGTGAGAAATAGCAAATTTTATATAATGGTTCCCCAAGGTAGGAAACTATTTCCCAAGGTGGCAAAGCTATTTCATGAGTTCCCATTCCATAACTTAATTGTTTATTATATACCTAAACAATCATAGACGATTTCATTTTCTTTACCAGATATTCCTACATTTAAAAAAAAAACACTGTTAAGGCATTATTACAAATGCATGCGATTTAACACATTGTATGATACATGTAAGTAATGCATTGTGTCTTAAAACAAATTATTTTTAAAAGGTACTTTCACTGACGTTTAGAAGAATTATCATTGCCTGTACGAAATGTTCCGCCCGGAATGTAGGGGGAATAGAGGCGTACTTGGAGAGGGAATTCCGGGCGTCAGTTTGTTTCTCTCTATATAAGGTGTTACACAGACGCTCCGGGCGTAAACCAAGCGGAAGCCAAGCGGAAACTGGCAGGAATTTTGAGGCGGAATATGCAAATGAGTTACGCCTGGAAAAAGTAAATGACGCCCGGAAAAAGATTCCGCCTGGAAACTAAAATGACCCCTGTATCAAAATCTGCCTAGAATTATATAATACTATGTGACCTAAAAACCTATATATTAGCCATATTAACCAAGAAAACATTTAGGTTATGATGTACCTTGTTAAAGCTAAAATTTTAGCTTTTTGAACTGCAAGAAAATGTAATGACAGGGCATTTACATAGTATAGAAATATAATCTATAAGACTTTTCCAATTTTTTGTGTAAGGAACTCCATCATGATCGAATGTCTAAGGATTATACACAAACTTTTTACAATACCCGTACATTTTACCACTTCAATATAATCATGATCTTGAAACAAGTTACTTAATACATAGTTCTACATTATTACTCCGTACTTTACAGTTGGAGACTGCCTCTATCTGTTATTTATCTCAGAATGTGTGCAAGGAAACTCAAATATCTAAAGTAATTTTAGGGTTAACAAGTTATATAACTATAATTATACATAATCATAATCAAATTTACCCAAATATGTACCAGATATTAATAATCACACCTACCAGCAGATACTGTGTCATCCAGAAGAAGTGTAAAAGCCTCAACATTGAAATATCTGCATTTCCTATTTCACTCACACTTAAAAGTCCCTCCCTTCATGATCAAATTCAAACTTAACTTCCTATCTGAAATGACCCTTTCATTGATGATTAAAATTGACCAATCAGAGGCTTTTACTTCTCCTGAAAGTTCCAGGCGTAAGTTTGGTTTTTGTTTTCCTGCCATTTTACGCCTGGAAAATCTGAACTTGCAAACTGACGCCCGGATATTAGAAATTACGCCTGGAAAACATCTCTTCTACTGAGGCGTAACTTTTCGAAAACTCCGTCTCCTGCTCAAGTACGCCCGGAATTTGCAAACTCCTGCTCAATTCCGCCAATATTCCACCCAAATTCCAGGCGGAATCCGCCTTTCAAATTCGTACAGGTGTCTTCATTTGCAAGAATTCAAGTATGATTTTGACATTTTGCATCGAAAGGTTTTGATGTCATAGTTACATTGCAAACATGCAAACACAGACTCGAGATTCCTTAAACATTCAAAATATACTGAACACTTTGATTGGTTAAAATTACTTATAGATATTCAGGAGGGAGTAGTCCCAGGGAGTAGCTCTGATTTTCCAGAGAGTAGTCTTCAGATGAGGGCAGTAGTCTCTTCTTGGGGAAATAGACAGTTTTATTGTATTAATGTTATATAGAATAATTACAGTAGAGGTATAATAATAACAATTGGTGTGAACATAAATGTAATATCACATCAGAGCGGGAGTACTTCTAGTAAGCAGTGGCTCACAGACTTCTTGTTTGATCTATATTCTATATCACTGTATAAAACACTTATGCTTTGCTCTGGAACAATGTTGTACATCTTAAAATGTTATACTTTTTTTATTAGGTGCCGCGTCATTAATTGGGAAAAAAACTGGTAAAATTGTTGGGTTTTCCAGCCGATCAAAAAGGTGCAGAATTTGCATGCATGCCAAGAAGCTGAACAAAACACCAAAAAGTCACAAATGTAGGAAAAATTGGATGGGCTCAGCGAAAGCAATGGAACCAGATATGATTGTTGAAATGTTGCATCATGCAAATTCTGCCCATGCACCTGTCTGCACGTTGATTGGCGATGACGACAGTACAGCCTTAAAGAGAGCTCGAGAGGAAGTCAGTTCAACCATAGAAAAAGTTAGTGACAAGAACCATATAAAGAAAAATCTTTCAAACCAGTTATATCAATTGAAGTCCAGGTATCCAAAAGATTTGTCAGTCAAAACCATCAATGCCCTACTAAAAAGCTTTAACTACATGATTGCCCAAAATACTGGAAAAGAGGAAGAAATAAAAAGAAACTTGACAAGTGTTGTTTTGCACCAGTTTGGAGAACATGGCACCTGTGGTAATTGGTGTGAATTGAAGGAAAATCCCTCTGGAAAGCACAAAAATCTACCCTGGGGATTGGATCTTCACAACAATTCTTTAAAGAGAGACCTTCTGCAAGTTTTCTCAAAATTGGATCCTTCCAAGTTATGCAAACTTGATTCAAGTAATCCAAATGAGAGCTTCAATAACATTCTGAGATCAAAAGCCCCCAAGGACAAACATTATTCCGAAAGCTCAAGTTTATCACACAGGATATCTGCTGCTGTTTGTCAAAAAAATGAAGGTTATGGCTATGTTGCAAAGGTATGCTCCAATGATTTAAGTAATATTTTTAGCTCACCTGAGCTGAAGGCTCAAGTGAGCTTTGCTGATCAAAATTCATCCATTAATTGTCTTTCGTTGCTGTTGTTGTAAACTTTAATCATTTACATTTTCACTAACTAATGGACCAATTTCTACCAAAAGGTCACAAGGTCATTGACCTTGATGTCATTTGAAAGAACCTAATAAGTGGAGTATGTATACCAAACATAAAGTATCTATCTCCTACAAGGTTTAAAAGTTATGGCAAAAATTCAAAAAAGAAATTTTTAGCACATAGGTCACAGTCAAGGTCACTAGGTCATTGACCTTGGTGTCATCTGATAGAAATCAATTAGTAGAGTATACACATCAAATATGAAGTTTCTATCTGCTATGATTCAAAAGTTAAGGCAAAAATTTAAAAAATAGCTTTTTAAAACGTGGACAGTATAAGCTTACAATCGTCCGATCATTTTTAATCATTACTGACGCTTTCAGTTCGTAAAAAAAAAATAAGGCTTAAAAATTGAAACTATTTAACCAAAAATTGTAAAAATTGAAACTATTTAACCAAAAATTGTAAAAATTTTCAGCAGTAAAAATTCAATAACAGGGGCATGAAATGCTGTATGTATACATAATGTATTAATATACTCTTTACAAATTGAATTCATATTATCCTCATATGTTAAATCATCATGTATTTCACTTTCATCAACATCCAACATATCCTCTTCCTCATCCAACACTTTATTATTTACACTTTTATTCTATAAAATTTTGCTGAACATATTGCACAATACTCAAATCCCTTCTTATTCCAGAAATTTTGTCTTTCTACCAAAGCTATGTATCCCTCAATTACATTGTAGTCTGGTTATTTGGTAAAGATGTATCGACCCTCTTTTCCAATTTCTTCGTGGATATCTTTATTGAAAAAGGAACAATTAAAACATACATGTTTACTGCAAAATCTCCCGCCAGACCGTTGGCTGTCGCAATCAAATTGATGCTGTCTGCATCAGTTATTGAATCCAGCATTCCTTTTAGGAGACTTTTGTTGTCATCCAATCTCTACAGAAAAGACAATTTTACTTCATAAATAAGTTTTAACGTTGTTGTTCTACATTTTTTCCCATTTATACATTTTACCATATTTTTAAAACACAACTCCTCCTACAGTTTGGGATTTTAATATAACTTGGCACACAAGTATTCTACACAAAGATACGTAAAATAGTCCATCGGTTTTCGATGTCGATGAACGGTGTTGCCATGGTTACTAAAATAGAATTTTCTGTGAAATTCTTTTAAAACACTACTCCTCCTACAGTTTTGGTCTGATTCGAACATAACTTCGCACACAAGTAGACTACACTAAGATACATAACAGAGTGCATAGGTTTTGATTTTGATGAATCGCGATGCCATTGTCGACAGACTTCTGGTTTTTCGTTGTAAAACTTTGATCCATCATTGTGGTCCAACCTTTTCCATGGAGGTTATGATTTGAACCCATTTTATTCTACATCACCTAAGCTTCCAAATAAAGAGTCCAGCCTTACAAAGTGATTCAATGGTCCGTGATGAAAATAAAGGTCCTATTTGCTTCAATTCGTCAATTCAAGCAAATGTCATAATTTAAATTTCTGAAACCTGGGAGAAAAAAAAACCTTGATATACAGAATCAACCCCTCCCCCTCCAATACACTTCTTCCTTGAGTACAACCACCACGAGCAAGGGTAAATGCTCAAATACAGTGTAGAGTAGACATTTCTTGATATCTGCCATCCAAACAGGTAGTATTAGAAAGAAGGATTTGCTGCGAAACACTGGGAGTAGATATTGCACCATGGATGATATAAATGAAAAAGTATGATGACATCTGCTCTGAAGATCTTGACATAGATTCTCCAACTTAAAGTTAATAAGATATTCATGATCTTATTGTTAAGGAAAAAATGAACCGGACCCTTGATGACAGATTTTCCTGCACTCATCTTTCATTTATTAAGTCACTGCATGCAACACAATGTTAGGATTTTGCTGACAAAGTGTTCACAACAGTCTTGTCTTCGTTGTCTACTATGAAAGATACAACAATCACGAACACAATGTCAGCCAGAAGTTTTAAACATGTTACTCTCAAAGGCAACAGGTACATGTACATAAAATGATGGTGGCTCCATATATAAATAACAAAAAATCTATAAAGTTAGATTTTAAGCAGTAAGAATGTCATGTTGGCCTCTTATTATAGTAATTGTTACAGTTATGTAATAATTTAAGGCCAGTGACATATTCTTCAAAACCATTGAAAGCAATCTGCATTTTCATTTACTTCTTTCTTTCAGATCCATCAGTCAAGAGCTTGGTTATGCAGAGCCTTCTTAATCAAGAAACATCATGTTCACCATCCATCCCTAAAGGGTCAGGTGACCAGCGCTCAAGGTCAAACTCTTCTGAAACTTCACCATCGTCATTAACTTCACCACCAGTGTCATCCACTTCAGCACCATCTTCATCCACTTCAGTACTATCTTCATCCACTTCAGCACCATTGTCATCCACTTCAGCACCATACAAGTCATCGGCTACATCTGAATCCCCCATTACATCTAGTGAAAGTAGCTCCAGCACACACAATTGGAAGGCAGAGGAAGAAATCTGATAAGAATGACAAATTTTTACAATGCAAAAACCATACTGCCTTGTGGAATGACATTAGTGCTCAACTGAATGAAACCCTTAAGTGCAATGCTTCCCCAAATCAAGCAATGAACAAATACTACAATATGAAAAAAACGGTGGAAAAGAAATTATTGATGTACCAACTGGAACATAAAAGGAAATATTTTTAGGCAGAAAGATCAGTTTGATGAAATGTATGGTACAAAAGAAAGCACAAAACCAACAGTAAATGGTAGACACATTGGAAAAGAAATCGAGAACGCAAGGGCCAAAACAAATAAAGTCTGTATAAAATGTTAAAATTAAGCTATTCATTCTTCCTTATGAGGACATCTGCACAAAAAAAATGTTTCCGTTAATACTGAGGAAAATACAAACAAGCAAAAAGTAGTGGTCCACCGCTTTCAGTGCCTTATTATACCCCCGCTCCGAAGGAGAGGGGGTATACTGTTTTACTCTTGTGTGTCTGTCCGTCTGTCTGTGTGTCCGTCCGCAACAAATTTTCGTCGCAGTTTTCTCAGCAACAACTCATCGTAGATGCTTGAAATTTTAACATAATCTTCTATAAGGCATGCCATATGGTGGGATACATTTTAGATTCAATCCGATGTCAACTTCCTGTTTTGTACCGTTGATTCACAACATCACAAATTTTAGTCAGCCATTTTCTTCGCAATTACTCATCATAGATGCTTGAAAATTCTTTGGCCGTGGATATCGGCCTGGATAGCTCAATCGGTAGAGCACCTGACTCTAGACAGCAGGGGTCCCCGGGGTCGATTCCCGGTCCAGCCATGCATTTTTTCTTTCCTGTTACACAATAATGCAGCAATTTGTGTAACTATGAAAACTATAGACAAGCTGCATTCTCCTTACAATGCCATTGTGTTCGTTTTGTTAATATTATTTCACTGGCAGTCCTTGGTATACTTTCAGTGTTCTCCAATGATGTAGTCTTTTACGTCTTAATCATTAATGATGCACTTGTTGTGTAATATACAGGCAGCCAAAATCATTTGGCAAATTTCTGTGGAGTTGTAATGGAATGTCTTGCAGCCCGACGAAAACGTCCTTTTAAATGTCCAAAAACACGTTCAACAACTTGTCTTGCACTTGACAGTCTCTTGTTGAAACAGACTTGCTGTGGGTAAGATTTCCCAAGTTCTTAAAGGGGGTTATTAACCAGTTCCTGAGAGGATACGCGCTGTCAGCAAGAATAAATTGATGAACAACGAGTACAAGGTTTCCTGCCGCAGCCTCTGTGTATAGAGATGAATTTCTCAAAACGCGAGCGTCATGCACACAGCCTGGCCACCAAGCATAAATATTTGTTAATTTGGTTCATGGTCTACTACAGCCTGCTAAAATATTACATATATGTACATCAAATCAAAGAAAATGTATGCAAAGGAGGGGAAAACATGTTTTTTTTAACTGCCCTTAAAGAAAATCTCTTCATTTTGGTTAGCATGGAGTTTTATTTCAACATACTTGAATTTATTTATTCAGTTAATCTATTTGAAGAATTACTAAAAGTTTTACCTAAAATTTGATGGATAATATATGTGATGTGTTAGGAGATTATCAAATTGATCATTGATGTCAAAAGATGAATTTCTAGGGTATTATATAGTACCATTGTTTTATTTTATTATTATTATTTATTTTATTATTGTTTTATTTGCTCCTCTGTTATTTAATTGCTCTCCCTTTCACACATAACTCTACAAACATATAATCGAACTCAGTACACTAGAAAAGAACATTAAACAAAGACTTAAGGTGCCCTGAGGTCATCCAATGACCTTGATATTTGAGGACCTTGGGTCACCTTCTTGTTTATTAGTAATGGGATCAATAAATATAAAGGTTGCCTTACCTGCTCCTCTGTCATTGAATATCAACTTGGGTCTGTAAAAGAAAACAATTAAAATTAATTGAGAGATGATGATAAAAGTAGGTCACATGTGATAAGATTTGAAATCTTTTTATGTCAAAACATATACCTTTTTTCAGATTTCTCTGTCGTTTACCAACCTATAACATCTGAAAACACAGATTGTAAAATAATTAATATCAGAAATCCTTCATCAGGAAATTCTTTTCAGCCTTTTGGTCCAAAAGTCATCATATAAAACAAAGGAAAAATTTGACATAAACATGTAGTTAACAATGTATGAAACAATGAAGAAAGAAATTGGTTCCAAAAATATTAAGGATAACAAAACCTGTCCTTGAGCGGTGGCTTGTACATTAGTTGTTGTCTATAAAATAAACAAAAAAATTAGAGTCTGTATTTGATACGAGTAGGTCATCTACTTCAAAATCAGAACTTTTTTAGAATTAAGAAAAATCATACCTTATTCACTTCTCCCTTTCCAACATTAGTCTACAAACACAATAATCGAACTCAGTAACACATTATACCAAAGAAAAGAACATGAAACAAAGACTTAAGGTGCCCTGAGGTCATCCAATGACCTTGATACTTTGAGGACCTTTGGTCACCTACTTCATCATTGTTCAACAGTAATGGAATCAAATATAAAGATTGCCTAGATACCTGTTCTTCTTCCATTCATCTACACCAATTTGTGTCTGCATAGGACAAAAAAATATAAATAATATGAGCCTGCAATTTATACAAGTAGGTCATCATATCAAAATCATCACTTTCTTCAGAGTAAATGATGTCATACATTCTTCTCTACTCCCTTTCCGGCATGACTCTACAAACACAATTATCAAAGGTAGTATTACTTTATACCAAACAAAAAACAATGAAACATTAATATGACAGAAGACTTAAAAGGCCCTTATGTCATCAAAGGAACTGGGGATTGGGTTACCTACTGTTTAACATTAATGGGATCATTAAATGTAAAGATTGCCTTTACCTGTTCTCTTTCAATTCATTCACATCAACTAGTGTCTGTAACAGAAAATAATTGATAATAATTGATGGTAGGTGATTTAAACGTAGGTCACATGTGGTATAAAGTTCAAACCTTTTATGTAAAACATACTTTTCGGATTCCTCTGTTTACCAACCTTCAACATTGGAAAACAGAGATGGTAAAATAATTGATATCAGAAATCCTTCATCATGAAATTCTTTTCGCCTTTTGGTCTAGAAATTCATCATATAAATTTAGACTTATAATTACATGAAATAATGTATACATACAATGAAAAAAAAAGGATTCCAAAAATATTAAGGATAACAAAACCTGTCCCTTGAGCGATGGCTTGTATATTAGTTGTTTTCTACAAAATAAACAAAAAATAAAAAGCGTGAAACAGTATGTGAAACAAATATAAATAATGGTTTCCCATTAGGGCTGGTACTATATTTTGAGATATAGATATATCACTATATACGTAAGGACGATACACATATCCATACATTTGAATTATCTAAATATTGCCCAAAAAATCTAACTTCTATTTTATTTGCTTCTGTTTATTTAACATTTGGGGTTTGATACAAGAGGAGTTGGACAGGTGTTCCATTACCTGTTGGGTTGTATTCTGATGATTGTATTCAAGAAACCCAAGAATTAGACAAGTGTCCATTGCCTGTTGGATTAGATGTAGATTTCCAAGAGGAGTTGGACAGATGTCATTACCTGTTGAGTGGTATTCTGATGGATAATTGAAGAAACCCAAGAAGAATTGGACAAGTGTCCATTACCTGTTGGGTGGACGGTACATATCCAGAGGAGTCTTGGACGGTTTGTTTATTACCTGTTGGGTTGTATTTTGATGATGCAATTCAAGAAACCCAAGAATTAGACAAGTGTCCATTGCCTGTTGGCGGACGTAGATATCCAAGAGGAGTTGGACAGATGTCATTACCTGTTGAGTTGTATTCTGATGAAACAATTCAAGAAACCCAAGAAGAATTGGACAAGTGTCCATTACCTGTTGGGTGGGATGTAGATATCCAAGAGGAGTTGGACAGGTGTCCATTACCTGTTGGGTTGTATATATTTGATGAGGAGATTGAGAAACCCAAAGAGAATTGGACAATGTACACATGTTCAATTGTTGGGTAGTTTAATCCCTTCGTCAAAATACAACCCAACAGGTATTGGACACCTGTCCAAATGCCTGTTGGATACCTTAATTATGCCCAACATGTAATGGGCCCTTGCTTTATTATTAAATTGGTCATGACTCAAAAAGGTTTTCCTTAAATACTTATTTTTGTTATTCAAGAAGGTTCTAACAGAGTCTGAGATATGTTGAGTTGTGTTTGTCACAATTCAGTTTTTTTTTGCACTTAGGTATTCAGTATATTTTGATATTAGATATTTTGAAATATACAGGTGTATATACTTATTGCTAAGAAAAAAAAATTAGTTAGGTGCTACAATAAAAGAGCTATATCACAGAAATTGATAAAAATATTGGGTTGAAAACCAAAGGTTTTCAGTCTTGTCTGAATTTACCAGCAAATATTAAATATATAATAGATTTGGAATGAATAAAAAACAATAAAGAAAAAACCCAATAAAATACGGACACAAGGATTAATATCCAATAAGATTTGAACAGTAACTACCCAAATAATGCTCTCTCGTGTGTACACTTTTTTGTATCCAATAAGCAGTATCGAATAGGACTTGGACTTGATGTACCCAATATATAACCAAATGTGTGTCTGTGTACAACAGACAGACGGACGAACACACATTTGGTTATATATTGGGTACATCAAGTCCAAGTCCTATTGGATACTGCTTATTGGATACAAAAAAAGTGTACACACGAGAGTCATTGGGTAGTTACTGTTCAAATCTGAATTGGATGTTAATCCTCGTGTCCGTATTTTATTGGGTTTTTTCTTTATTGCTTTTTATTTTATTTCAAATTTATTATATATTAAATATTTGCTGGTAAATTCAGACAAGACTGAAAACCTTTGGTTTTGAACCCATATTTTTGTCAATTTCTGTGATATAGTTCTTTAATTGT